CTCTGCAAACAGAAATTCGGACCTTGGAAAAGGCCTCATCACAGGCCCAGGATGCCCCCTAGTGGCTATTTCTGTCTCTGCAGCCGGGCTAGTTCTAGTTAGGTGGCCCAGTCAGACCTTCAGGTGACAGGTTTTGGATTCTGGACACTTGGAGGCTTTGCAGCTTTGTAGTGTGCACACTTCCTCTCCCCAACACCTCCCCCTGACCTCTGTGAAGCCTCCCAAGGCTCCTCAACACACATCAATGTCACATGTCACCTGCTACAGCCACAGAGGAATCGCTGACGTCACTTCAGGGTTGAGGAAACTGAGGCTCTGGTGGAGGGGACCTGACTAAAGTACCCTAAGTGTGGGAGCAGGAGGATCAGTCATGGGGCTGCAGGTCATGTACTGTGTTCAGTCCCCAGTGCTTGGCAACACATAAAAATAGAGCAGTTCCAGGTTGGCCTCGGTCACACAGCGAGTTCAAGGCCAGCCTGAACTGTGAGACACTGCCGGGCAGGGGTGGCACACGCCTTTAATCCCAGCACTCAGGAGGCAGAAGCAGGCAGATTTCTGAGTTCAAGGCCAGCCTGGTCTACAGAGGGAGTTCCAGAGCAGCCAGGGCTACACAGAGAAACCCTGTCTTGTCTTGAAAAAAATAAAAAATAAAAAGCTGCAGCTTGGATAAGCATGTTTGACCATGGCCGTGCAGACAGTGTCACACTAGGTATTGGGGACACCGAGGAAAAAGTTAGGGACGATGATGAAGAACAGAGCCACAAAAAGGTCAAGGCCAGCAACCGTCACTGTGAGGGTCGGGAAGATGGCTGACCAGGGAAGGACACTTGCTAAGCAAGCCTGACAGTTGGAATTTGATCCCCAGAAGCTATGGAGGCCAGATGTGGCACACAGCTGTAATCATGGCATTCCTGCAGCGATATGGGAGGGGAAACAGCAGAATTGTCTGGAAGCTAGCCTAGAGTGCACACATCTAAGGAGGGCTGACCATGTGTTCTCAGGCTGCATGGGCACAGGGAAGCTGAGTAACTTCCTCGGGGTCACAACCTAGAAAGTAGCAACCGTAGCTGCAGGCCAAGGGATGCATGCAGGTTTGTAGCACCCAGGAGTCCAGTCACACCAGGCAGCGTATGTGTTTGAGAACAAAACCCAAGTCCCACAGGCTGTGGGGAGAGCCCCCCGGCCAGGTCTTCCCTGACCTGTCTACCTGCCTGGAGACCATACACAGCTGACCAGAATCTCGAGGGGCTCTGGCTGCTGCCCGTCACAGCCTGCCTCTCAAACCACCAGCCTGCCACAGCCAAGGGCCGTGAGAACGTCAAACGGCTGACATGTCAGAGGTGCACGTATCCATGGCTCAAGTCAGAATCAGCAGCAGCTGGAAGGGGCTGTTGGAGGGTAGGTGAGATGGCCCAATGGGTAAAGATGCTTAGCAAGCCTGACTACCTAAGTTCGAATCCTGAGGACCCACACAGTGGAAGGCAAAATCGGCTCTAACCACATATGTGCTGCAGCCTATGTGCCCCACCCCTAAAAGTAATGTAGAATACACAATTTTAAAAAGAGGGAGTCAGAAAGTGGAGGGGCTTTGGGGTCCAGCCAGGAGGATGGGAAGCAGCTTTTGAGTTGGATGCAGGAGGGAACCTAGGCCAGAGGTCCAATCAGGGACAAGGTCCAGATGAGAAAGACCAACAGGCAACAGCCAGCTGGGAGGGTGACGGCCAAGGGAGGGAAGGCCCTCCAATGACTGTAAGGATGTGTGGACTCAAAGGGGCTGATGGCCAGAACTCTGCTCTTCCAAAACTAAACCAGCTGAGAGCACAGACCTCTGAGAGTGACGCCAGACATAGACGTCCCCAGGGGTGACTTCGGAGACAAAGGCCCGGAGTCAGGGCTGGAATAGGTTCCAGTTGAGGAACACATACCAGGATCTACAAAAGCATGTCATTTAGCGCTGTCTTTGCTAACAGAGTATATCAGTATGTGACAGGTGAAAACACTGAGTGGGCCTGCACAGTGGAGCACATCTATGACCCTGCCCACGAGGCGGTGGCTAGAGGTCATGAGCCCAAATGAGTCAGCATCCAATGGACACCCGTCTTGAAAATCCCTAACAAGGGCTGAGGCTATACCACAGTCGGCAGAGCACTTGCCTGGCATACACGAAGCCCTGGGTTCCACCCTCAGCACCTCATACACTGGGCGTGGTGGTGCACACCTAGAAACCCAGCATCTGGGAGGTACAGAAAGATGGGGAGTTCAAAGTCACCCTCAGCTGTATAGTTAAGTTTGAGACCCATGAGACCTGGTCTTTAAAAATACCTAAATGAGGCTGGGGGTAGAGCTCAGTAGGGAGAGCTCTCATGGGGACTGCCCAGTTTGGTCCCCAGACCTCATAAGCCAGGCATGGTGGTACACACCCCAGCACTTGGAAGGTGGAGGCAAGAGCAATCAGAAGCACAAGACCTCACCTACATAATGAGTTTGGGGCTAGCCTGGGCTTCGTGAGACCCTCTTTAAAATCTTAACAAAAACCCAAACCAAAGAAACAGTAAACGGTGTTAGTATTAGAAAAGACGTTGAAAGATAACTATTGGCTGGCTTATTTTCGTTGTGAATGACTTTACATTTGCTCCCAATCTCAACCTAGTGACTCTGATTTTCGTATTTCCAGGGTCTAGAGTCCGATGGTCCTGACACGTTCTAATGGCTGCCTTGCTCTCTCCGGGGACCGACAGTGCTAGCCGCCATGCCCTCTGCTGTGCCCTCAGCTGCTGAAGGCCAGAGGGAAAAGGACCGTCAGCAGCCACTGACCTGATTGACCATCTGGTGCTGCTGGACAGTCCTCTTCTCTTTAAATTCTTCTGACTCAATTTTAATCTCGTACATCGCCCCGCAGCCTCCTGAAACAAAGTCGAAGGCGTTTCCGTTACAACAGATGGTAGCAGACTCAGACAGTCCCGAGAAGGCGGTGTCCTGACAGCATCCTGCTAACAGGTGTAGGTAAGATCACACAGTTTCCAATCTGACCATTTGCTCCTGGCGGGCAGCCTTGACCCAAATGTTCTCTCCTGTCTGCAAGGTGCCCCTGTTCCCCACAACTGTCAAGTGTGATCAGGAAAGGGGGGGCCCAAGGCCTGGGAAGCATTGGGAGGTAGAACACTCTCTCTTAGTAAGCCACGGGAGATGGTGGGAAGGTCAATTTCAGTATTACCACCTTCCACAGACCTGTTAAAAAGTACAAAATTATCCTAAGTTTTCATCCAATCATATGTGTAGTCCCGCCAATGATGGTTGATAGTGACCGTCAACTTGACAGAATCTGTATCACTTAGGAGACAAACCTCTGGGCATGTCTCTGAGGAAGTTTCTAGATTGGGATAACTCACCCTTAAACTGGAGACCTGGACTGAAGGAAAATAGAGCTGAGCACCAGCATACACACACACACACACACACACACCCCTGCTTCCTGACTGGACACAATGTAATCAACCACTTCAAGCTTAGGCAACCATGCTTTCCCACCACAAAGAACGCCCTCAGAGCCCTCACTGACATACAATAAAATACCCTTCTTTGTGTTTTTTAAGTCAGGGTCTCACACAGTCAGACCTCAAATTCTCCACATAGTCAAAGATGACCTTGAACTTCGAGCCAGCACAGCATACTCACTCAATTTTATATGTTTCTGGGAATCGAACCTGGGCCTTTGTACATGCTGGGCAAGCACTCCAACCGAGCTACATCCCCAGTCCAATAAAAGATGTTTCTGAATGCTCTCCCAACCCAGGCACATGTGCTTTCGGGGAAGTCAGGATGCCTTCCCTGCAGGCCAATGCAGAGCTGGCTCCTATCTGGCTGCCTGCACCTGTGTCCCTCTCTGGGTGTGTCTGGATAAGGCCCCCATCTTCCCTCTGCTTCTAGTGCAGAAGCTGCACCTCCAGCCTGGCCTTGACAAACAGCCAGCCAGACATTCCGAGGTGCAGAGGTGGCCTGAGGAGAGCAGGGCCAGCCTGGGCTTGGAAAGTCTGCCCTGGGTCCTGATTCTGCCTCTGGTCCTCCTGTTCCCATTGGCTGCTTTGGGTGGGCTTGACTCTGGATAAAGTAGGGTAGTAGACAAAATCCACCTTGGACCCATCCTAGCTCTCCATTGTAGGGTGTCAGAAGAACTGGGGTGGACAGGTTACAAGGTGTCTAAAACATGAGAGGCTGTGTCCTGAGTTCTTGGTGCCTGTACAGGGGCAGGCTTGCTGATCGACAAGAGGGACCTCATCTGAGCAGGGCTAGTCTGGTAACCGAGTTCTCAGCCAGGCCTTTGTCTTTGTGGTTTCCCTCTGATGTTTCTAAGTCCCCATCTCCATCTGGCCCAAAGCAACACTTACGGAGAAGTCACTGTGGCAGGTCCCCTCCTTCCAGCCTTTGACTTACGGAGAAGTCACTATGGCAGGTCCCCTCCTCCCAGCCTTTGACTTACGGAGAAGTCACTATGGCAGGTCCCCTCCTTCCCAGCCTTTGACTTACGGAGAAGTCACTATGGCAGGTCCCCTCCTCCCAGCCTTTGACTTACGGAGAAGTCACTATGGCAGGTCCCCTCCTCCCAGCCTTTGACTTACGGAGAAGTCACTATGGCAGGTCCCCTCCTTCCCAGCCTTTGACTTACGGAGAAGTCACTATGGCAGGTCCCCTCCTCCCAGCCATTGACTTACGGAGAAGTCACTATGGCAGGTCCCCTCCTCCCAGCCTTTGACTTACGGAGAAGTCACTATGGCAGGTCCCCTCCTCCCAGCCTTTTGACTTCAGCCTCTCCCCAGGCAAAAACTCAAAAACCTCAGCAAGGCTCCACGGAGAAGATGGGAGAAAGCCTCACCTGAGATGTCCGTGACTTTGATAGCTGTGGCTCGGGGAAACTTGTCTTTGAGAATCTGGGTCACCTTGAGCTCCCCCTCAGTCTGGGAGGCAAACATCCGGTGTATACAGTGCAGGAGAGGGGGCTGTGACAACAGAGAGGAGGTCTGTTGAGGTCTGTGGAACTGTGAGCCGCGGTGCAGCAATGTCTCGTCTGCTGCAGTCGGCCGGCAAAACACTGGGGTTGCTGGTGAGTGCTGGTGCTGAAGAGGTACCACCCAGTCACTCCTCAGTCTCACCTGAAGGTCCAGAGCAGGGTGCCATTCTAGACTTTCAGGGTTGGATCCTGGGTCTCTGTGGTATGTTTATGTGTAGGCACCTGCCCGTGTGTGCATGGACATTGGGGGTCAGAGGACAAGCCCAGCTGTCGCTCTCAGGGACGTCACTTTGTTTTTTGAGACAGAGTCTCTCACTGGCTTGGAGCTCATCAAGTAGGCTAGGCTGGCAGGCAAGCTCTAGGGATCCACCTGTCTCACCCCCCAGCAGTGGGACTATAGGGGTGTGCCCCCACACCTGGCTTTTGTTTTTAAATTTTTACTTTAAATTGTGTGTGTGTCTAAGAGTTTGTGCTCATGAATGCAGTGCCTTCAGAGGCTAGATGAGGGTATCAGACCCCTGGAGCTGGAGTTACAGGCGGTGGTGAGCTGATTGACATGAAGGCTGGAAACTGAACTGGGCTCCTCTGTAAAGGCAGTGAACTTATCCACCATCTCACGTGGGTCCTGGGGGTTGAACTCAGATCACCCCTGTGAGTACTTTACCATCTGAGCCTTCTCCCAGTTCTCTCACTAGCTAGTCTTAAAAGGCCAAGGTGGAGTCTGCCCCTCTACAGCAGCACCCCAGAGCTGACCCTAAGGCAGGCCCTCTGAAGCAATGAGTGAGGAGAGAGACATGGCTGCTGGACACAGGCCAAGAAGCCTAAGAGATGGCTGACATGCAGGCCAGACGAAAGATCTGGTCAGATGGGCTGTGCGTCTGGGTGCAGCGGCAAGGTCTGGGGGTGGACGTGCTCCCGAGACAGCAGCATAGGTGAAATCACTAAGAGGCACAGTGGCTCGCACTGCACAATCCTCAGGACCCGGTCATCTTCGCACACCCATCCTGTCAACAGACTGACAAAATCCCAGATGACAGTCCTGGGGGCAACACAACTCCTCAGCACGGGAGGCAGATTCCGGACCAGCAGGCAAGTGAGGAGAAAGAGATGGGTGAGATAAAGCCAAAGATGAGTCTGAAAGGGAGAGACAGACCAGGCACTGTGGCTTACGACTTTCTTCCAGGAGCCAGGAGGTATGTCACAAGTTCTTAGCTAGCCAGGGCTTTAATGCGAGACCCTGTCTCAACCAACGGAGGGTGGGAGGATTAGGAGAGCTGGGCTCCCTCTCCAGGCTGCAGGCCATGGAGGGTCAAGGTCAGAGGCCTGCTCTGTGTGCAATTGCAGGGCGCAGGCTCATCCCCAGTGCCCAGCACCAACGCCTGGCCTCGGGGCTACACCACCTCTGTTTTCCTCTGCCGAAGGCAGCATTTCTTTCCCAGGTTCGCTATACTGTGCTGGTTTATGGGACTGTTCCCCGACCCACCTGAGCCGGGTACCCCCAACCCCCAGTGCGATTCAGAGAGGTCAGGAGAGAATGAATGAGAGCAGGGAAGGGCCCCAGCCTTGCCCTCACGTCCTCAGCCAGACAACAGCCGCCCGACCCCCCGCAGCCCCGCCCGCGCCCCGCCGGCTCACCCCGTAGCTCCCGCGGAGCAGAGGCGCAGCGGACGCCGGGCCCCATGCCGCCATGCCCGGCGACGCAGCCCGCAGCCCGAGGTCACAGTGCAGCCGGAAAGACACCGGCACTCCGTCCGGAGCCGCCGCCCTGGGCGAGCCCGCCCCCTGCCGCTCGGAGGCCGCGGCCGCCCGGCGGGAGCCACCCGGGACCCGCAGGCCTGGGCCGACCCTCCATCCCGCCGGGTCGGCTTCCACTGCAGGGTCGTACACCCCCCACCCTACCCCACCCCCGCCTCCAGTCGCCCACTTAGGCAGCCAGAACCCCGGGTGCGCGGGACAGGCCTCCCTCCCTCCCTCCCTCCCTCCCCACATCCCAGTCAGTGCTCTGGGGGAACTGACTTCTTCTTTCCAGAAAGGAGTTCCGGTGAAATTCTCGGCAATGGGAGTCTTCTCAGGTTTGCGGTTTAGAAAGAGCACTCTGGCTCCTGTGAGGAAGGGGGTTCTTTGTGAGGGGCTGAATTGGAGAGGGCAGACTGCTGCAGAGGCCAGATGAGCGATGAACTAAACCAGGGGCAGGAGTGGGGATGAGATGTGGCGGGGGTGGAAATTTGTTTTGGATTTCCCCAAATTCCAGGGGACACAGCCCCCCTAGGTACGGGCCGAGGATGAAACCTGTAATCCCAGGGCTGTTTTGTGTCAGCCGAGGTTAAGTAGTGAGTTCCAGGCCAGTTTGGACTATAGAGATCCTGTCTCAAATGGGATGGGAGTGGGTGGCACACACCTTTAATCTCAGCATTGGAGAGACAGAGGCAGGCGGATCTCTGAGTTCAAGGTCATCCTGGTCTATATAGATCAAGTTTGAAGCCAGCCAAGGCTACCCGGTGAGACCCTGGCTCAAAACAAAACACTTCAGAATAGGTAGGATTAGAAGCACACACCATGAGGGGTAAGTAATCACCAGCAAAACAACAGGTATACCGTTAGAGTAAAACCTGATGTTCCATTAAACCCCGTTTTCCCAGCAGTAACTGCAGCCTGAAGTCCGGCGTATCCTGCAGGCCTCTGTCACTGCACTGGTGCCTCTGCAGTCAGCACCTCCCGTGTGGGTTGGGCCCGGATTTGTTCTTTAAAGTGAACAACTAAAAGTAGGCTCATTTATAGGCCAGGCACGGTGGTGCACCTTTAATCCTAACACTTGGGAGGCAGAGACAGGTAGATCTGTTAGTTCAAGGCCTGCATGGTCTACATAGCAAGTTCCAGGACAGTCAGACTATATAGAGAGACCCTGTCTCAAAACAAAATTAAAATGGTCATTCATTCCAATGTTGAGTGACTCCTGTGTTCTAGCCCTCATCTCCGGATTACTTGATATAAATTTTTCTGCTTGATTCCTGAAAATTTATGGTTAGAAATAGTTAACTTCCAAGTCTCTTCATTTATGCCAAGAAATACAATTAAAACTGTCTAAAATGTTTTCTAGCTGTATAGTGGCCCCTCTTTGCTATTCAAACCACATGTTCAGACGAGCAGGAACTGGCTAACTACATGGTGATTGGTTTACGGCTGGTCAAATGATCTGAACCAGACCACTGAGATAAGGTCCCCGCATTTGGCTGGAACTAGAGAGATTACGGGTTTCCAATCTATTGCTAAGTTTATAAAAAGCCTGGCACTACTAGCAACCAGCTTTGTGCCCAACAGGCAGAGAGCTGCTTTGGCAATGGCGCGGACACAGCAGAAAGTGGTTCTGGGGAGGTAGGCATATGAGCCTGAGCTGTTGGAAGCCAGCCCTGCTGGAAGTGAGTCCTGGATTCAGTGCAGACGTTTGCCACTTGAAGCTAAGTGCCCTAAGGTTAAGGTCACAGACTTACCTGTCATTTACATGGCACTCTGTCAGTCCTGTTCCACAGAACAGTCACCCACATAACTGTGACTGAGAACTGCTGGCGCTCCACTGTGCACCCCTTACCTTCAGTTTCCAAGAGCTGTCCAAACTGAGAGAAAAAAAGTCCAGTCTCAAATCCTTCAGACTCCCCATCACCCACAGGAAATAACCTTTCCTGTGACTTCACCCTCACCTCCCCACCCAGCTGGAATCTACTGCAGGACAGACCAGCGTCATCCTGCACAGGTTCTGCAGGCACTTGGTCACAGTTTGCCTTGAGACTCACCTTCAACCAAGCCACATTAGTACTGCTTGCAACTCCAGCTTTCAAATTTTTATATTTTATGTGTCTGCATGTTTTGACACATGTATGTCTGTACATATGCATACAGTGTCCAAGGCCAGAACATTGTGTCAGATCCCTCGGAACTAGAGTTACACATGGGTGCGGACCCCCACATGGGCGCTGGGAATGGAGCCACCTCTCAAGCCCCTTCGTTTTTTTAAATTGCCTTTGGGCCCAGGAAATGGCCGATCCTTTCTACTCTGAACTTGAGGGTTTTTCACCTTTGTTTACTTTGGGTCATAATCACTCTGTGTTTTGTTTATTGTCGAGACAGGGTCTCCTATAGCCCAAACCGGCCTCTAATTCATTATGTGCTGAAGATGACCTTGGATTTCTGACCCTCTTGTTCTGGGGTTACAAACCTGTGCCACCTCACCACGGAGACCCCTCAGGTCTCTTGGGATGCATCTGTTTTCAACCTCACTGAGATGATTTTTAGTAACAGTCATTGTATAGAGCCTCCTAGCACCCCAAGCATCAGTTCTTAAAAATTCAATCCTACAGCTCACTATGGCGGCGGCACATGCCTTTAATCCCAGCACTCAGGCAGAGGCAGGCAAATCTCAGCTTGAGGCCAGCTTGGTCTGCAGAGCGAGTTCCAGAACAGCCAGAGCTACACAGAGAACCCTTTCTTGGGGGGCAGGAAGGAGGATTCAATCCAAGCAGCTGTGCACCAGCTTTCCGACCTTGTCTGAACATTTGTGGAAAAGACTGAAAATTCCCTGATTTGCATCTTCTGCCTCCCCAGACAGCCCCAAGTAGTAAACTTTCCCTCTGAGTAAAGCCCTGCAAAGTCCTCCCAGCCCCTTCAAAGCCAAAATAGAGTGGTATGACCTGGGATCTGCATACCAAGGGACATCCAGGTTGCTTTTGGCCAGATAGCCTTGACACTGGACAATGTTAAAGGATGTTGTAGTTTCCGGCTATGATGCTTCAAAGCTTAACTCTGGCTTTCCTGACTCTTGTCTGGGTTACTTCTACTCTTCTAAAGTTTCAAATAGCTTCAAAAGACTCAGCTGAACAATTACTGAATTCTTGGACCTTCCACTGGTAGACACTGTTGGACTAGCTAGATCACAGCCTGTAAGCCATTCTAATAATCCCATATATAGTCTTTCTACCAATTCTGTTCCCCTAAAGTAGTGGTTCTCAACCTTCTTAGTGCTGTGACCCTTTAATACAGTTCTCCTCATGTTGTGGTGACCCACAACTATGGTTTATTTTTGTTGCTACTCCGTAACGATAACAATTATTTTTGTTGCTACTTCATCTCATTTTGCTACTGTTTTATTAAACATAATGTAAACATTTGTTTTCCAATGGTCTCCACACCCCTTCCCCAAAGAGGTTGTGACCCACAGGCTGAAAACCCCTGTTCTAAAGAACCCTCCTGACTAATACACTGAGCATGTTGGTAATTTTACAATGACAAGTGGCTGATTGGGCTGGGGAGGGTTTTAAGGATATAGGAGTACTTGACTTCAAGGTAAGAAAATTAGTGAATCTAGCCTCCATCCCCTTTCCCAGGAATGTACATAAGATCTGGAGTCCCATGAGCATCCCAGGATGGAGACTGTTCATTTCTGTCCGGGGTGGATCTGCACTAGACATAGGGATTTGTTCTTTGGAACAAGGCTCTGGTATTATATTTGGTTTCATTTAGGAACTTCTCCTTCCTAAGCTTTAAGAAAGTAGATACTAAATGGTATGCAAAGACAACCCTCCAAATTTAAACTGTAATCAAAATCCACAGAACCTGCAAAGATCTCATTTCCACATTTAAATAAAAGCATGCTAACACACTTCAAAGCCATTTTTGCTTTCAATATAGTTTATTCTGATGAAGTTACAAAAGTAGATACAAAATACTTTTTTAAAAAGTACAGTTAACGACTTAGAAAAATAGAATAAAGCCCTAAAGGTTTAAAAATACAACAAATTTTTTTTCCCATGAGGAATATTTTAAGTTATTTTAGATGGTAACCAAGACTACCTTATGCAAATGATTTTTGCTGCAGCCCAACACAGAACGCCCTTCTATAAGCAGCCTGTAGCACACTGGTCATCCATTTGGCTTTACTTGTTTGATATACTTCTGACGAAAAACTTGTGAATTTCCATGCAGCTGCCTCAGTAAAATTACTGCTGCCGTGTGTGCTCCAAAGCCCCTCAGAGCCCAGCATCAAAACTGAATATAAAAACAGGAAGACCAAAAGACTCCTTTCCTTCTTTGCCAGAACTCATGACCTCAGGAGGAAAGAACACGACTGCTGAAGGTGCTCGGCAGCTCATGTCCAGGCTGGCACTGTTCAGGCCAGGGCTCCACACTGACGGGATGGCTCCCACAGATAGCAGAGGAGCCCTGGCACCATGAGTGCAAACACACCTGTAAGGCCCCACTCTTCGGGCCTGATTTGTTTATGCTTCTGAGGGAATGACGTCATGTCTGAGAAGCTCTACTACTGTATGATCTTAGGGCTTAGAGAGAAGCCAAGAGAACAGGAAACTTCAGCAAACTTCAGCACCAGGACTGGGCCTGGGCCTTTGCTGCAAGTCGTGAACACAGACCTGCAGTTCTCCAGTGAGCAGTCGTGTGAACTAGAGTTCTGCAGGCCAGGGTAGAAGAACCTTAGCTAACTGGCTGCTGGTGAGTCACGAGTCAGTCAGCAGAACAACAGTGGAGTGGCGGTCAACACAAAACTATTACAAGGAAGTGTGATTTTTTTTTTTTTTTTACATCTGTGTATCATTGTCCAAGTTTTTTAAAGTCCTGGAAATTAAAGCACCACAGGGCTAAGGCGGAATTCAGCAGGCAACTGGAAGCCACTGCAACTGAGTCTACGGAGCAGTCAGCACAACTGACTCCTACTGGGGTGGGGGACAGGGAGTAGGCAGATAAATGCAGGACAGACTATTTCTTCAGATGCTATGAAAGCGTCTCTAGTCATGGCAGAAAGACGCCACCCTCCTCCCACGTTCTGCCTCAGAGGTGAGCAAACAGCACAATGTGTACACACTGCTGGTTAAGGCAGGTTGGTCTGGGAGTCTGGCACTGTTTTTGTTTAAAAAGACAGAAGAAAAAATGGAGTGGGGGGACACACACAAGGAGACACTCCAGTCTCAACTACCCAGGTGGTTGTGTGTGTTGTCCCACTGCAGCTGCCTCCGTATCTTAGCATCTACCCATCTGGAGCTGCCTCCGTATCTTAGCATCTACCCATCTGGAGCTGCCTCCGTATCTTAGCATCTACCCATCTGGAGCTGCCTCCGTATCTTAGCATCTACCCATCTGGAGCTGCCTCCGTATCTTAGCATCTACCCATCTGGAGCTCAGTAACGGAGAGGGCACCTCTGTCTCTGAAATGCATGCAGAGGAAAGAAAAACCTTTGATTTGAGGGTGCCAGATATCCTAAAGATGATTGAGCCTTGGTTGAGAAAGAGAATTTCACTTCAGCAAATCAAAGTAAATGGAGTCTGTGGTTGAGGGGTGATGCTTTCTCGGGGGCATCTAGAAGTCTGCATTCTTTCTGCAGGTAACTGACACTTGCAGAACAGCTGACATCTGGACCTTTGCATACACCTGGGTTAGGAGGTGTTTCCAAGCTGTCCTTTTTTCTCTAAACCGTTATCCCACCTTGAATTCCTCTAATAGTGATGTGTGGTTTCAGCGAAAATAAGACAAAACTTCTAAGCATACTTAAGAACACACTAAAATGAGTCATTAAAACTGGAGTTTCTAAGGAATTCTTTCTTGTATAGTTTAGTGGAGTCAAAAATAACAAAACCCTCATCACCTCTAACCTTTATAAAGCCATGCAGGAGGCCAGTGAGCACTTAGTCCCAGCCCTGACACACACAATGCTGATACACTACAGCACTGCCCTTTGGACAAGTGTCCAGGATACTTACGATGCCATGTACACCTGAGGAGGCAACCAGAACTGACTAGATCTGAGGACCTAATGAAGAGCAGGCACCTTCCTCAATAAAGGAGTCTTTTATCCTGATAGGATGAGGAAATTTTCAAGTTTTGATACAAAGACAAAGGAGAGAACCTCTAGAGCTCAATGCAGCCTTTGTATAGTAACAGAATGAAGCAAGGCTGTTAATTCACTTCCCTGCTGGATCTCCAGTTCTCCCTCAAACAGACAGCAGGGAGACCTGCAGTCACACACACCCTCAAGCTACTTTTTCCCTTATTGCCATAAAGTCTGCATTTCTACACATAAATGTAAGTTTCAAGTTGCAATAAAAACATGGAATCGTTTAGGAAATAATCAAGTATTCTAAATACTTTTTTCTACTGTCCTCTCCAGAACTGCAAGGCCTCACGAATCATCAATGAAAATAGTGGCTTTGAGGCCCAAGTCTGTCACAGTTTTTTAGAAGTTTCTTGATCTCTGCCAAAATCTAAGTGAAGAGTTTCAAGAGGAGAACCTGCATGCCGCCATCAGAGGACACAGAGACTACATCCATTATACACCCCCATCTAGACAGACAAGGACACAACCCCAAAAATTAAAAAGTCACATAAAAATAACTTTGGTTAATCTCATGCCACATATGCCTGTGATTTAAGCTTTGTGGGTTTTGCAAAACAAACTTTTTTCAACCAGTTTACCATGTAGCCCAGGCTAGCCTCCAATGTGCTATCCTCCTGCCTCTTCCTCCACAGTATCAGGTAACAGGCATGCACCATCATGCCTGGCTAAAAATATATATGTACTCTTATCTATAAACACCAGCACACAGACACGAACCTAAAAGGCTATCTAAGGTAAAACATAAGCTCTAAATGGCTGAGATTTAGAAATGGAACACCATTTCAATTTGTAAAATGAAGCAAAACTGATCTGTGTTAAGAAATTTGTTCTAGAAACTAAGTTACTGCTGAAACCCCTTAATGTCCATTATGTTGTCACATGGAAAAATTCAATTTCTTTTTTTTTTTTCAAGACAGGATTTCTCTGTGTAGTTCTGGAGCGTGTCCTGGAACTCACTCTGTAGCCCAGGCTGGCCTCGAACTCACAGAGATCCACCTGCCTCTGCCTCCCCAGTGCTGGGATTAAAGGCGTGCACCACCACTGCCCGGCTTCAATCACTTTCTTGAACAAAAGATCAGCAACAAACTACAGGTTAACCTAAGGTTACAACAGAGGACACTAAAGGAAGGGTGGCCACACAGCACCTCCAATCTGGCTGTGCCACACAGGTCTTGTTCTGAAGCTATCTGGCCAACCTACCTTTGGGACAGTTTTCTCTGCAGCCAACACTGGGTCTTTTGACCCTGCTTTCTTAGAGTCAGTATCACTAGTCCACACCAGACAGCAAGGAGAGAGTGCTAGCAGTCGACAGAGCGAGAGGGTAACTGTGCTCCAGAAGAAACATTTATCTGTCTTTAGATCCAAGCTTCTCAATTAATTCCTGAAGTGGTGCCAACTCACGCCTATCAATCAGATTGAACTCCTGGAAAGAGAAGGAAAGTAAAATGTAACAATAAACCAACACTGAAACTCTTACACGTCAACAATGTCTGGTGACCCTCAAGATCACCACGTGTGACTGGTCTCCAGAAAGACCAAGACACAACTCATGACTTTAACAGTGTTGAGACATCGGGCTCCCTTCCTAACCAGATTCTGGGGGGTGAAAGGAACTGTAGCTACAAGTGTTAAACACTAAAATGAAATACACAAGTGTATATACAATGACCTAAAAATTACAAACTGAACCTCTGCCAACAGCCACCTCTTGAGAAGTCTACTTTTACACACACACACACACACACATGCATGCACACACAAGGTACAAAAAAATCTCAGAAGGAGAAAAAAAAATTAAGTGTGGTATAGCCTTTGCAATACACACAGAACCATAATACACAATAATAAAAGCTACCAGGTTTCTCTACTTCCTGTAAAGTGCTGTTTTATATACAGAATTGCCTAGCTTTTTAAGAAGCTTTTACTTTTCTTTGTGTGTGTGTCTGCCGTATGTGGGGTGTCTGAAGAGACCAGAAGTGGGTATCAGAGCCCTGGAGCTCCCCATGCAGGCGCAGGAAGTGTCTTCACTGCGGAACCACCTGTCGCTCTCGCTCTTTTCTGGTTTCTCTGAAACAAGGTCTGGCTGGGATTCCAGAGACGTGCATCACGCTCTGATAATTCTTTACTATCTTTTTCAAATAATATGAATTATTTTGACCTTTCCAAGTTCTGAGTTAGTGCTCACAGGCAACAGGCCACAGACCTGGAAGAGCAAGGGAAGCCTGAGGCAGCTGGACCCAAGAAGGATGCTGCCTTTCTTCCTTTCTGTTTTAAAGCTTGACTGACTGACTTTGGTCTGTCTGTGAGCCTTTGTGAGTTTATGTGCTCCACGTGTGAGTGTGCATGTGCCTGTGGAAGCTAGAGGAGGCTGGGTCCCTTACAGGGAGTGGTGAGCCTCCTGACAGGGATTCAAGAACTGAACCCAGGTCCTCTGCAATAATTGTACATGGTCTTAACTGCTGAGCCATCTCTCCAGCCCAGAGACACAGTCCTTCTTTCTATACTGCGTCATGAATCGATGAAACAACAGAAGAAAACGAAGTTTGTACTCAGACGGTCTGCATCTACAAATAAGACAGTGTCTTACTGTTATCAAGGTCCAAGTCCAAGACCCCGAGATCAATCTGGCTCACCCACCTGGACAAAGAAAATAAAGTGCTTAAAGGAGGTGTTGAGGTGGGCCTCCTCTTGCAGCTGCATCACGGAGTCAAAGTGCTGGTGGTAAATATGGGCGTAAACCCTGAAGAGACGCTTCAGGATAGTCTTTGCCACAGACATGAAGTTTTTGGGAAACGGGACACCTGTAATTGAATGCACACCTATCAATCATCAAATGAGACAGCAGCGAGTTTTGATATTACACATAAGCTTAAGCTCTCCCAAGTCGACTTCAAAGGACTGTAAGCAAAGCAAACCCCAACCTGAGTATTCTTCCCGCTCCACACTGACTGCCTACAACAGAAGACACAGGTAGAGACTGCTGATCACAGTTCAAATTCACGTTAGTTGTTTAATACCAGAGTTTCTCCCTAAGAGGAAATGCAGTAAGAATAAGCACTTCGATTATAAACATCAATTCTGTCATTTGTAACAGGAAAAAAAAGTGAGGAATGGAAATTTTCCTAAACAAAATAAATGACAGCCCTCAAGTTGCAGAGAGCATCTCATCTTCTACATTACTCTGGAATGTAAAAGTAGTAGTCTTCATTTTCCTAGAGCCCAAAAGGGGGAGATCCTTCCTGAAACAGAAGGCGGGGACCTCATTCCTTCTCAGAGAAAAGAAATACCTCTTGAGAGAAAAACTGGGAGGTGTGGGGACCTCTTGAAGCAGTCATCATGGGACACCTGGCTACAATCCTGACAAGTTTGGCTGATGACACCAAAGTCCTTTAGCAAAGGGACCGGAGTGCCAGAGAGTCGGCACTGGCTACACAAAGCACCACTGAGAAGCACCGAGAAGGCGTTTTCCTGCTGGGCATGTGATGCTTGTCTCTAATTCAAGGCAGACAGGTGGATCTGTGGGAGGCCATGGACTCCAGTGAGTCTCAGGCTTGACAAGAAATCAGTTTCAAAAAGCAGTTCCTCAGAACCACCAAAAACAAAACACCTTTCAACCTCTCAGAAAACGGAGGCTTCTAACAGCATTCCTCCTGTGCATCTTACTTTTTTTCTTTAGCCAGCCCTTAAAAGCTTGATATTTAAGGGTTGGGAATTTAGCTCAGTGGTAGAGCGATTGCCTAGCAAGCGCAAGGCCCTGGGTCCGATCCTCAGCTCCAAAAATAGATAGATAGATAGATAGATAGATAGATAGATAGATAGATAGATAGACAGACAGATAGATATTTAATAAGTTGTGCTTATTTTAGTTGTATTCCCAACCCCTAGTCTTTGCTAAACTGAGTTTTCAAACATTACACTGGAGCTTATGTGCTGTTTCCCTGGACAGAATCTTAATATGAAATTCCAAAATGGCAGGTTTTAAAAATCAAATCTTTTCTCTTAAAATTCCTATCTTGCTAATGGTTTAGATATGCTGCTAAAAAACAAAAAAAAAAAAAAAAAAAAAAAACAGTTCTCACCAATAAGGTGAAACTAGCAAAACTTGTAACACTGATAATAGCCTAATGGGGAGGAAGAGGCAGGGGGAAGAGTCTAGAATTACTACAGTAGAAAGAGAAGCTGAGAAAAAAGGATTCTGGGGGCATGGTGATAAGATTTTATAGCCTCAGCAAGTGGGAGGTAGAGATAGAAGGACTCAGTGTTCAAGGCCATTCTCAGCTACACAGTGAATTCAAGGTCAAACTGAGCTAAATGAGATCTTGCCTCATAAAAATAAAATCAAATGAAACTTAACGGAGTAAACATGTAAGTTGTTTTAATCTAAGTACTTTCTAAATTAATAGAACATATTCAAGTGGAACCAATATATAATTAAGTATCTGTGAGAAAGGAAATACAAGGTTTAGTAGAAGATTGTTAACAAAGAACCAAATCTAACAACTTTTTTTTTCTTTGAGACAAAGTCTCACTCTGTAGCACAGGCTAATCTTGAATTCCCAGCAATCCTCCTGTCTCAGCCTCTGGAGTGTTGGGATTGCAGGTATGCTCTACCATTTTCCCCAACACCAGCCTAAGTATAGAAACTTGATCTAGGGCCAGCAGGCTGGCTGCCTGGATAAAGATACCTGCCAGGCCTGATGACATGAGGGCAATCTCCAGGACTCACACGGTAGAAGGTAAGAACTGACCTCCCCAAGTTGTCCTCTGACTTTCACACCTTTACAGTGCCACACAAGTTCACACCCAGGCCCAGACACACTGGGCCATACAGAATACGCAAAAAAATAAATGTCGGTTGTTTTTTTAATTGATCTAAATGTTTCTCCCAGAAGCGCCTCTGCTTAGACTATGAAGAAGAGCACAAGCCGGGCAGTGGTGGCACACACCTTTAATCCCAGCACTCGGGAGGAAGAAGCAGGCAGATCTCTGTGAGTTTGAGGCCAGCCTGATCTACAGAGTGAGTTCCAGGTTAGCCAGGACTGTTCACTGAGAAACCTTGTCTCAAAACAAAAAACAAAAACAAACAAACAAAAAGCACAAGAATCTGGCAGCCGGCAGTGGTGGTGCACGCCTTTAGTCCCAGCTCTCAGGAGGCAGAAGGCACATGGACCGCTGTGAGTTCAATGCCAGCCTGGCGTACAGAGTGAGACCCAGGACAGCCAGGGCTACACAGAGAAACCCTGTCTCAAAAAAACAAAAAACAACAACAACAAAAAAAATGTGGTAAGCAGCTGCTCAGATCCTCAGAACAACAAGCAGGCTAACGTCATTCTTCAGTACAATACCAAAACCAAAACAGTAGCAAGCCAGAAACGTTCTCCTAGCAGAACATTTGAAAAAGAAATGGAGAAGTTGGGGTATAACTTAATGGTAAAGCATGTGTTTAACCATGTGAGGGGCCCTGGGTCTGACCTCCAGCACCAAAAAAAAGTAACTTATAGTCATCAAAAATAGACAATGGGAAAATATCTGCTAAAAACAGGCTGGTGAGACGGCTTAGCAGGTAAAGGCGCTTGCTGCACAAGTCTGGAGACCCAAATTCCACCCCCAGACACCATGTAAATAAAGGCAGAAGGAAAGAACCAATTCCACAAATTGTCTCTCTCTGGCCTTCACTCATGTATTGTGGCACACAAACACATGCACAATTTTTAAAGTAAATTTTTAAAAATCTACACCTTTTTTTTGGGGGGGAGACAAAGTCTCACTATATAGCCCTGGCTGACCTGGAACTCACAGATATCTGCCTATGACAATCTTTGGAGTGCTAGGATTAAAAGTGTATACCATGCCCAGCTAACATTTATTTTTACTTTGAGAAAATGCTTCTGTGTTTTTATGAAGAACAAATAGAACAGACGTGAAGAACACAGGAAGGTGTGTACAGTTTCAGATCACCCTGTAAGGTTCCACAAGGTTTACAAGGTCCTAAAACATGGCAATTTGCTCTATACATGATTTAACTGAGGAAGGAAAGACACTAATATCAAACTGGAACAAACTGGCTAACTTCTTTTTAGAAAAAAAACAAAAAACAAAAAAACTTAAGAAGCATTCAGAATAAAAACCCTGACAGCCCAAAGATTAAAAAAAAAAAAAAAAAAAAAAAAAAAACAGCCGTCGGGCAGTGGTGGCTCATGCCTTTAATCCCAGCACTCAGGAGGCAGAGCCAGGTGGATCTCTGTGAGTTCCAGGCCAGCCTGGTCTACAGAGCGAGATCCAGGACAGGCACCAAAACTACACAGAGAAAACCCGTCTCAAAAAACAAAAACAAATACAAACAAACAAAAAAAACTAAATAAAAAAAAATAAGCAATGTCACTATCTAAAAATAAAGCCTTTCTCACCGTAACAAACACAATTCGGAATTGAGAGCAGAGTTCAGGAACAGAACATGTGCCTAGCACGCATGTGAGGCCCAGGCTTCAATCCTAGCACCACAAAAAGCAACAACAAAACCACCCACATTTTAAAGAAAATGAGCAAAGTAAGAGAAGTATATATAGCAAAACACGATAAATAAGACCAAAGGTGCCCTAGGGGAAAAAAACATACAGTTTACATGACAAAGACCAATTATCTGTAACAAAGGACATAACAGGACAAAAAATGTAAATAAACCAAAAGCATTTAATCTCATTCATATTGGTGTGTGCGTGAGCACAAGTGTACTCATGCATGTGCTATAAGGCACATGTGGGGGTCAGAGGACAACTTCCTTTCACCATGTGGGTCTTGGGGATCAAGCTCAGGCCACCAGGCTTGGTAGTAAGTGCCTATACTTAAAAAAAAATATTTTTAAATGGACATTAAAATAAAAGTTTAGAGCCGGGCAGCAGTGGTGGTGCACACCTTTAACCCCAGCACTCGGGAAGCAGAGCCAGGCAGATCTCTGTGAATTCAAGGCCAGCCTGGTCTACAGAACGAGTTTCAGGACAGCCAAGACTATATGGTAAAACCCTGTTTCAAACCAAACAAAAAAAAAAAACATGTACAGGTGGAAGGACCAAATCCAAGAAGTTGTCTAACATACACATATACACGTATATGCCATGGCACTCAAACCACACACACAAAATAATTATTTTAAAATATATCCAATTTAATCAAATTGGAAGAGATTAAAAAATAAGTATTAACTGGTATGAAGAAACATAATTGGGCATGCTGGGGAAATATACATGAGTACAAATTTTTGGAGAGTGTGGCTTTCTCTGTTAAACTGATTTAAAGTCAGAGCATTTAAAGATTACAGCCATCATTGAAAAGAAAAGCAGTTCTACAGTGATAACTTACCGATCTTTGAAGGGAAAAGGGTTTCGTCATCAAGCTGATCCTGAACCCAAGTCATCAAATAGTCAATGTATTTTGGGGCAGAACACTTGATTGGCTTTTTAATATTAGTGCCATCTGCCCAATGGTATTCATACCTGCAGAGAACGACAATGTGTTACTGACAGTTGTTAAATCTTAACACGTACAACCTGTAATCAAAGCAGGTTCACATTCTGTCCACAGAAATTCTACGAGGCTTTAAGAAGTTACAGGAAATTCTCAGCCTCTTTAAGATAGATACTTCTGGATGTGCAGCTACTTTCATTAATTCAATACAGGTACCAGGAAAAATGAGCAAACAATAAAAGACTACCTAAAAAATTTTGTAAGAAATTAAACTCTAATCAAATAAAAAAAAACAAAAAAAACAAACAAACAAAAAACCCACCAGACTTTCTGGATGAATCTAAGTGACATCTCTTTTAAAATGACATTGATTTGTGTGGGCATGCAGACACTGTACATGTGAAAACAATTTGCAGAGTCAGTCTTGGCAGCAAGTGCCTTTACCCTCTCAGCCATCTCGCTGACCCCTAACTCAAACTTCTATACATTTCCTCCTACAACAGAACAATACGATTATAGTTTATAAACAGTAAACAGAGTATTTATATACCAAAGTAGTTAATGATAAGAGTTATTGCTGAGTAGTCAAGAACTCACAAACTGAATTATCTCTATACAAAGAAACAGGTTAAGACCAGTATTATTTAATGTTTATCAATTATAAAAGAAAGAAACTCAAAAGCGTCTGTACCAGGCTAGATGCATACCTGGGACCTGCAGACATGACTGGGCAGCTTGCCTCAGTGCAGAATTCAGTTATGGTTCCATACAACATGTTGATCTGATTGAAGAAATCCACAGCTGCAAAGACAAGGCCGTCACTCTAAGTATCTAAGTAAACTAAGACAAACCAAACAGACCTCTCAGCCGAAGGAAAATGGACACTATCTTCTTTTTTGAAGTGGGTTCTATGTTGCCCAGACTAGTCTGGAACTCCTGGGCTCATGCAATCCTCCTGCCTCAGTTTCCCCAGCAACTGGGGATTACAGGAGTACACTACCATGTCCAACTAACTTAAGCAAAACACTGGAGCTGATTTTAACTTAATGGTAACTAGTAAGTCACTGGAATACACTATTTGATTAGATCCAAGGAGTTGAAAGAGTCCTAGCTTATCAATCTCAACTACATCCTATCATGTAAAACTCAGTGGGAAGTTACAGGCTGGATCATACATTTCAAACATCTCCTTCAGCATCAGCATGTGACCACCCAAAAAGGATCGGGAATCAAGTCCCTAGTCTGAGTCTATGCGAACACAAGAGTTTAAAAGATGAATAACACGCCGGGCGGTGGTGGCGCACGCCTTTAATCCCAGCACTCGGGAGGCAGAGCCAGGCGGATCTCTGTGAGTTCGAGGCCAGCCTGGTCTCCAAAGCGAGTTCCAGGAAAGGCGCAAAGCTACACAGAGAAACCCTGTCTCGAAAAACCAAAAAAAAAAAAAAAAAAAAGATGAATAACACAAGACTGAAGATGGGACCCACATGCCAACAGTAAGTGCTAGAAGTTCAGAGAAAAAGCAACATCGGGAAGGACAGAGGCAGTCGGGGAGGACATTCCAAAGGAGCTTCCACTAGATCTGGAGGACGAGGAGGAAGGAGTGAGGGTAAACTTGACTGGGTGTGAAGAGAATCATTAAGACTTGGGAAGTTTTTCAAAATGCCATGTTCCTGTCTAAGGGAGTACTTGGGGAAAAATATGAACTAGGGCTTTCCAAGTTTCTTCAAAAATGGATTAAGAAAAAAAATTCTGTTTCATCAAAAACATTTCATAAAAATTCTCTAACTTATAAACTTTCCTCTTAGTTAGTTATATTTTATATTAGTATCAGTATTTTCAAGACAAGGTTTCTCTGTGTAGCCCTGGCTGTCCTGAAACTCAGAGGTCCAAAGATCCCCCTGCTTCTGCCTCCTAAGGACCAGGATTAAAGGTGGGTGCCACTATGTCGGGCATCTTAGTTGTATTTTAAAGAAAGCAACGTTAGGCCTAACCTCAATATTCTCACTAAAGAAGAGTACAGAGGATGACACTTCACAGGTATGTGTAAGCCTAGCAAGAGCTCAACTGCGGCTTTCACTCTCATCCTGAGGAGGGTGCAGTGGGGTTCTGCAGGGTCTCCACCATGGTGTGAGAGTGGATGAGAAGCAGACATGAGGACCTAGCTGACTGTTAAGCCAAACAGTAAGAAAGACTCCCAAAGACTTACAATGCCATATTTCTCACTGAAACTTGTTCTAGAAAATTAAAATTTTTTTTAAATAAAAGTATTTGCTAACACAGGATAGGGTTATTTTTAAATAAATTTAAAATATTTTAATTTTTCTCAGTTTAAATTTCCCAAACAGTAACATTAGATACACGGTACATAATTAAAAGTTTGACATGCTCAGTAATGTTTTTTTTTTAAGACCTATCTTTTCCCTCACATGTAAAAGCAAAGAGCCTTTATTTCAAGCTCCGGAGCTTGGTCTCTCTGTCTGTCCGGCACAACGGTGAGAGCAGAGAGCCCCTTTAAGACCTATTTTTTACTAGAGGGAGAAGGAGTTCAGGTGCTGGTGGAGGCCATACAGAGATGTTGGATCCTCCAGGATTGGAGTTACAGAGAGGCCTGATGTGGAGCTGGGAACTGAACTCTGGTCCTCTCCAAGAGCAGTATTAGCTCTTAAACATTGAGCAGTCTCTCCAGACCTCTAGTCACTGTTCAGAGAATAAAGGGACTCTGGGAACAAAAGTGTTTTTTTTTTAAACTGTATTTTACATTTTATTAATTTATTGTGTGCACACACTCGAGTATGTGTGTATGTCCATATACATAAAGCTCAGAGGACAATCTCCAAGAGTCAATCATCTTCCAACATGTGGGTTCTAGAGACTGAACTTGGCAACAAATATCTTTACCCGCTGAACCATCTCGATGGCCAGAGACCAAAAGGTTTCAATAGATGATTTAGAGCAGTTAAGCTTCAAAGAAAAATCTAAAACTGCAGGAGGCCAACACATGCCTTCAGAATTTGAGGTTTAATTTAAAAATACTTTAAATTATGTGCATTTGTATCTGTGTATGGGTATATACATTATACATGACAGTCCAAGTGCCTGCAGAGGCCAGAAGAGATTGCTGGATCCTCGGGAGCTATAACTGGAGTATTAAAAAAAAAAAAAAAAAAAAAGGCAGATATGATCTGCCCTATGTGAGTGCTGGGAAATAAATTGGGTTCTCTGCAGAATAGCATGCACTCTTAACCACGAACACATTTTTCCAGCCCAAACTTGATAATTTGAATAAAATTAAAAGCAGGGGTTTCCCTAAATAAGTAGTACTTTACATTGTTCAAACAACATATAAGCTTCTCACTTTGCATGTACATTTTTAGTTGATCTTACTCATTTCTTCACAATAGTCTCCCCAAAAAGCAGCTTAAAGCACTCAGCACTTCAAATCTCTCCACTCAACCAACACAATCAAGTATTTTGACAAATAAAGTCTAAATGTATTTGTATTCATGTTTTTTTTTTAATTTATGTTTTAAATTTTTTTTAGCTGAGGATCAAACCCAGGGCCTCAAGCGCTCTACCACTGAGCTAAATCCCCAACCCATGTTTTTTATAGATAGTTGTTATATTACAATAGTTATACCTATAAGAGAAAATTCATTCAATAAGATTTTAGCAAACTCTATCAATCATCAAGTTTAACTAACGTTCTTAAAAACTCACTGTTGACAGCAATCCATTCATTGAGGTCCTCTCCCTCTGGCAACATGACAGCTTGCCTCAGATTGCCACTTCCCAGAGTGGCTTCTGCATGTTTTAAGAGTTCGTACTGATGGGAGCCTTCAGGAATATTCTTCTTTGGTTTGAATGTTTTCGAAGAGCGGCTGCTGCTGTTGGGTTAAAAGTAAAAAAAGGTATGAATTTAGGAAAGAAAGACTGGCATTTTTGACATATAAATGGCTCTATTAGGGGGCTAGGAAGATGGCTAAGCAGTTAAGAACATGTATTGCAAGCCGGGCAGCAGTGGCGCACACTTTTAATCCCAGCACTCGGGAGGCAGAGGCAGGAGGATCTCTGTGAGTTCGAGGCCAGCCTGGTCTACAGAATGAGTTCCAGGACAGGTACCAAAAACTACACAGAGAAACCCTGCCTTGAAAAACAAAAACAAAAACAAAAAAAGAATGCAACACATCATTGCATCATTAAACAAATGTTCCACAGCATAAATAAATGTAACACATCTTCAACTAGTATTCCACAACGGGATCTGATGCCCTCTTCTGTCATCCACAGATGCAATGCACATGATACCCATGCATACATGCAGACAAAACACTCACAAACAAAAAGTAAAAATAAATATTAAGCCAGGCATAGTGATATACACCTTTAATCCGAGCACTCTAGAGGGAGAGGCAGGAAGATCTCTTTGAGTTTGAAGCCAGCCTGGTCTACATAGTGAGTTCCAGGACAGCAAGAGCTACATAGTTGGACCCTGTCTCAAAGAAACAAAAACTAACTAAATCTTTAAAAAATACAGTTATGCTTCAAATGACGGCATCAAGACAGTTAAATAATCCAGAGGATGGAAGAAACCATTTTTAAGTCATAGATGTGATAAGACACTAATACCCAAAAAACATGAAGAATTCTTACAACTTGAACAAAACCACTGCACCATATATACACATATGGAAATGTTACAGTGAAACCCATTAATTTGTACAGTTAACAGGTGCTAACAAAATAAAAACAATCTGATTCTAAAGTAGGAAAAGGATCCCAAAAGACTTTATTTATCCACAAGTAGCCTGAAAATACACAACGATGCTTAATGTTTTTGGTCACTGGAAGAATGTAAATCAAGAGATTCCACTTCACACCGAGTATAACAAAAAGACAACTGCCAGACAGATGGGAATTGGAGAATTTTAAAACTCCTATGTGGTGATGTTGTGTACCCTAATAAAGCTTGCCCGAGGACAGAGCCAGCCACTAGATTAGACACAGAGGTCAGGCAGTGGTGGCACACACCTTTAATCCTATCACTCGGGAAACAGAGATCGAGTTCAAAGCCACACTGGACTACATGAGATTGATCCAGTATAGAGCCAGGCAGTGGTGGCACACACCTTTAACCCGAGCACTTGAGATCTATGCCTTTGCTTGGGAAGCACACGCCCCTTTAATCCCAGGAATTAATATGGCAGGGCAGAGAAAGGTATAAAGGCATAAAGAAACAGGAACTCACTCCCTTTAGGCTGAGGATTTTGTAGAGTAAGAACTAGTGGCTGGCTGTTCTGCTTCTCTGATCTTTCAGCTTTCACCCTGATATCTGGCTCTGTGTTTTTTTACTAAGAGACCATCTAAGATTCGAACAACACTCATACAATGAGGTAGGGATGCAAAATGCAGTGCAAAGCTTTAAAACGCTTGGCAGTGCCTCAGTAGACTAACATGTAACAATTCACTCTGAATACCCAGGAGATACCATCACACACACATCCAAAAGCCCATAACCAGATGTTCACAGCAGTGTTCTTCAGAATAGCCAAAGACTGCAAAAAACTAAGGTATCAATCATCTTAAGTTATAAATAAAGACTCACATTTACCTCACCTAGTTGAAGAGCTATAGACACCTAGTTGAAGAGCTATAGACAGTCAGAAGGAAGAGGCAGTTTTTTTTTTCAGGGACAAGCTCAAATAGACTGTCCATGATCAAATGGTCACCTCTACACCCAAGTACATACAGGCAACACTAACTGGATTCAGTAGGTATACGTGTGTGTATATGTGCACATGGATATGTGTATGTACACACACATAAATATACATACATATAAAACTATAGAAGAGAACATGAATTTGAAAAGGAGATGAGAGGACACTGGAGGTGCTAGTGGAAAAAGGAGTGAATATGATGGGGGGGAAAAAAACCCGCATCTATTAAGTTCTCAAAAAATAAGAACCTTTAAAAAGGAAAAAAAAAAAGGATTCACATTTGGGGCCGAGATGAAAACGCCCACCTTAATCCCAGCACCGAGGAGGCAGAGGCAGGTGGACCCCTCAATTCCAGGCCAGCCTGGACGACATGATGAGTTTCGGGCCAGCCTGGGCTACATCATGAGCCCCTCTCTCAAAAGAGGCCCACATTTAAAGCAGGCCTGTCCTGGTGGCCTAGGCTGTAATCCTAGTTACTTGGAAGGCTGAGGCAGGAGGAGGCCAGGTTCGAGGCCTGCCCGGGATAGAGGGGAAAAAAATCACCTAATAAGGTGCCCGAGCCCAGCTTCTCCAGGAAACCTGTATAAAACCACTGAGAAGCTGCACTTTTCTTTCTCAGCCTCGTCTAGACACAGAGGCACATTTTCCTGCGCGAACCTTTACCGACGCGGCAGGCAGGCCGGGTTCAGCCATATGTCCGGCTCCGCCCTCCGCTCGGCACCCTCCGCCAGGCCCTCACCAGGGGCCCCGCCGACCGACACCCGCCCCGCCCCGGCCCGGCCCGGCCCGGCCCACTCACAAGAGGAAGCTCATCCTCGCTAGCCCGAGGGGCCGCGGCCCCTGCCCCAGTCAGACTCGGCGCCGCGGCGGGCACCGGGAAGCGGAGGGCGGTCCGCGGCTAAGCAGGGCCGCCGAAGCTTCACGGCCCGGCCTTGCAGTCGGGGTCCAGCCGCCGCGAACCAGCACACACCGCAGAGTCCCGCCGAGCTGCCTCCCTCACTACGGAGAGCCGAAATGCGGAACCAACAAGATCTCGCGAGACCAGGCTTCCTCCCGCCCCACCGAGCCTCGCCCCGCCTCTTACTGAGCTCAGCCAATCAGTATTCCGTGGACCCGGGAAGGCAATAGGGCCCGCGGCACTACTGTCAACTATGCCCAGGGACCTCTGCCAGCGCCACTTAGTGACTGTTTTGCCATCTAGGACTTGATTCCTTCTTCTGAAGGAATACTCTTCCAGCCACATCATCTGTTGATGGACACTTGGGTGGTTTCTACACGCATGCTGTAATGCTGCTGTGAATGTTCATGTGCATGTTTTGTGTGGGTGAAGAGTATGTGGACACCAGGTGACTCCATGGTAGAATGATGAAAAGGAGGAGAAGGAAGATTGTGGAGATAAATGGCAAAGACCCAGTACTTTTCCGCTCTAATTGCTGGTGGTTTTAAACCATTCAAACGTCACTTGTCACATTAACGACATCAATTTTATTTTGTCAACTGGTTTTCTTTTTTCTTTTTTTCTTTTTTTTTTTTTTTTTGTTCCTTTGTTGAAGCAGGATATGATATATCCCAAGCTGGTTTAAAGGTCAGTAAGTAGCCAAGGATGACCTTGAATTTCTGATCCTCCTGCCTCTGCCTTCTAGTGCAGGAATTACAGGCTTGAGCTGCCGTCCTAGTCTCCTTTTACTAACTTTTTAAAACATTTTTTTCAGTTTGTATGTAGGGCTGGAGAGATGGCTCAGGGGTTAAGAGCACTGGCTACTCCTCCAGAGGTCCTGAGTTCAATTCCCAGCAACCACATGGTGGCTCAAAACCATCTACAATGAGATCCAGTTCCCTCTTCTAGCGTGCAGGCAGAACACTGTATACATAATAAATAAATAAATCTTAAAAACAAAAACAAAAAAAACTTTAAAAAAAACAAATTTGTATGTATTAGTGGAGGGGGGGCACTTGTAAGAATCACATGTAGGAGTTGCACCATATTTGGGGAAGGGGGTGTGTCCAACCCAGGTTATCAGGCTTGCTCAGTAAGCTTTTTCAGTTTATTTTTGTTTTATTAACTTCTGTAGTTTTATTTGTATATATATGATTTAAAGTGTGTACCTTGATATGGTTTTGTGGTTCTTTCTTTCTTTTTCTGGTTTTTGAGACAGGGTTTCACTATGTAATCCTGCTATCCTGGAACTTACTATGTAGACCAGGCTGGCCTAAACTCACAGAGATTTGCCTGCCTCTGCCTCTCTGCATTTTATTTATTTCTTTTATAATTATAATTTCTTTCCTTCCTTCCTTCTTTCTTTCTTTCTTTTCTTTCTTTGTTTTTTTCCAGTAGCCCTGGCTGTCCTGGAACTCGAATTGTAGATCAAACTCAGAGAGCCAATTGCCTCTGCCTCCCGAGTGCTTAGATTAAAGGCCTGCACCACCACTGCCCTGCTGTAATTATATTCTTTAAATAACACATTATTAATGCTTGAGTCTGTGTCCTTGTGTTTATAACCATATCAAGAGTGTCCAGGCATGGTGGTGCAGGCCTTTAATCCCAGCACTCGGGAAGCAGAGGCAGGTGTGAGTTCAAGGCTAGCCTGGGCTACAGAGCGAGTTCCAGGAAGGCTCCAAAGCTACACAGAGAAATCTTGTCTTGAGAAAAAAAAAAAAAGTTTGTGTTGCTCCTATGTAGGCACCAGGCATGCACGTGTACCACATTCATGTATGCTAGCAAAATGCTTATAAAATAAAAATAAATCCTCTTTTAAAAAGAAAAAATGACAGAATGAAGGAACTCCAAGTTTTTTTTCACCTTTTAATGCAATTGTTCTTAAAGTTGTAAAATTATTAAATCTATGGGGAAAAAACAGGTATTTATTAGAGAAACCTCTTGGTATGGTCAGCTGTAGGGAGAAAGGCTTAAGGATTAGGGGGAAATCTCTGGTCAATATTTAAAGAGGATATCAATATAATCCACTAAGGGGTCAAAGATGAAGTTTCCCAGTAAGTGAGGGGAGAGGAGAGGAGAAACAGTAATTGCTATTGCTACAGGGCAATTTGGTTTCTCCAGATGGACCAAAGACTGGGTGCTTTAATCACTCTGGATCAGCAGGGTGGAGAGATAGCGTCTTACCATCTGGCTACAGCAGATGTGGAAAACAGAAGGTAAGCAGCAGCCTAAAAGGCTATCCCGTCCAGTCCAGGCTCCTCTGAACTGCTTCCCACCCCCACCCCCACCCTACCCCTGTTCACCATTCAGTTCCCCTTTTGAGCTTCCTCGGGCAAAATTTGCAACCTTGACTTTTCATTCTGTGTAAGCACCCCACACCCTCGTTTGCAGAACTCCAGCTTGACTTACCCTCACCCACACAGAGCCTCTTCCCTCACTTTGGACACTTCAAGGTCCTGCCTCTCCCACACAGTTGGCGCTATCTGGGGCTCACTTTTGGGGCCCCCTCCCATGTGAGTGAATAAAGATATTAAAGCTTCTAAGCTGTTCCTTCTCCGGATCTCAGATTACAGACTGTGAAAGAGAAATCTCAATTTATCAGAAACAAAACCCCCCACTCGGGTAATGAGAGCTTAGGGGAGTGGGAGTTTCTAGCTGGAACAGAACAGAGTGGGAGAGCAAGGAAAGATACCATGATAAATGAAGACACCATGGGAATAGGGAGAAGCAGAGTGCTAGGGAGGTTCCCAGGCATCCACAAGGATGACTCCACCATAGACTACTGGCAGTTGTCAAGAGGGTGCCTGAGCTGGCCTATTCTGGTGATCAAATGGCTGAATACCCTAACTGTCATCATAGAACCCTCATCCTGTGACTGATGGAAGCAGATGCAGAGACCCACAGCCGGGTCCCAGGTGGAGCTCCAGGAGCCCATCAATGAGAGAGAGGAGGGATTCTATGAGCAAGAGATATAGAGAGCATGATTGGAAAAAGTACAGAGACAACTAGCCAAACTAGTGGAAACACATGAACTGTGGACCAATAGCTGAGGAGCCCCCACGGTCCTGGACTAGGCCCTCTGGATAAGCAAGACAGATTTTTAGCTTGAATTGTTTAGGGGGCCCCCAGGCAGTGGGACCGGGACCTGTCCCTGGTGCATGAGCTGGCTTTTTGGAACCTAGTGTCTATGGTGAGACACTTTGCACAGCCTTGGTGCAGGGAGGAGGGACTTGGACCTGCCTCAACTGAAAGTACCAGGCTGGGCTGACTCCTCATGGGAGACCTTGCCTTAGAGGAGGTAGGAATGGGGGGTGCGTTGGGGGGAGGCTCGGGGGTGGGAAGAGGGAGGACAGGGGAATCTGTAGTTGGTATGTAAAATGTATAGAAAATCTCTTAATAATATATATATGAAAAGAATAAAAATTAAAAAATTTAAAAAAAAAAACCCTACTCATGGAATATGGAAGTTTCTGTTGTGAAAATGACTTAAAGTCCCTGGTCAGACTTCTGTGTTCACTATATACATCTGTAGACAAAATATATGGCCTCTGCCCTCCTGGAGCTTGGCTGAGTTAGACAAGGTAGGGGTGTGTGTGTGTGTGTGTGTGTGTGTGTGTGTGTGTGTGTGTGTGTGTGTTTTATTTTTCTTTTCTTTTAGGCAGACCTCATGTAGCACAGTCTGATCTCAAGCTTACCATGTGAAGCAGGGCATGGTGGCTCATACTTTAAATCTCAGCACTTGGGAGGCAGAGGCAAGCAGATCTCCGTGAGTTTAAGGCCGGCCAGGGTTATATAATGAGATTCTGTCTAAACAAACAAACAAAAAAGCACAGACTCACTATGTACCTGAGGATGTCCTTGAATTTCTGATCCTCCTGACTCCACCTCCCAAGTGCTAGGAATACAAGTATGCACCAGTTTGTGCATTGCTGGAAGCAAGGCCCCGGGCTTCATGCGGGCTGGGCGAGCACCTCGCTGATTGAGCTACACCCTTGGCCCTGATAAAGCAGAAGGTAGTCCGACAATCACACCGGTAGAGGGTACATGATTGCAAATCATGGCACTGTGAGGAGGAAAGCACAAAACACGCAGATCATTGAAAGATTGACAGGGGAGATAAACACAGACTGAACACTCACTTTGGCAGCATATAAAAATTGGAACATAATAGAGATTTTTGCATGGCCCTTGTGTAAGGATGACATGTAAATTTCTGACATTTACTACCAAGCTTAACAACGTAAACTTGATCCCCAGGACCCAGGTGGAAGGAGAGAACTGACTCCCACCAGCTAAACTCTGACTTCCACATACACCTTGTGACACCCCCAACTCCCAGCTCCAACACACGCAAATAAATAAGTTTAAAAAAATAAAGACTGGGCCAGGTGTGGTGGCACACACCTTTTATCCCAGTACTCGGGAAGCAGAGGCAGGCAGATCTCTGTGAGTCTGAGACCAGCCTGGTCTACAGAGTGATATCCAGGATAGCCAGAGCTACATAGTGAGATGCTGTCTCAAAAACAAACCAATACAACTGGAAAATTCAAGTATCAGTGAAGCTAAGTCCCCAGAAGATGAGATAGCCCAGTGTGGGGGTGAGGGGTGAGAAGCACTGCTCTGAGCTGAACCCGTGTGCAAGGGCTTTGAAGCAAGAAGGGGTTTGCCACAGAAAGAAGAACTGAAAGAATAAAATTTTAAAAAAAAGCCAGCCTGTGAGACTGTGACAAGCCAGAGGAAAGTGAAGGAAAATGAACCAGCCACCGCAGAGGGTGGCCTCTTTCTTTAGAGGAAGGTGCACAAACATTAAAAGTCTTTCTGAAGCCTGATGGGGTGTGTGTGTGTGTGTGTGTGTGTGTGCTGTACAAACATGTTTCTGGGGTTGCATGCTCAAGTGTGTGCAGGTGCCTATGGAAGGCAGAGGTTGGTATTGAGTATCTTTCTCTGTTGATCAACACCCTTTCTTTCCTTCTTTTTTCCTTTCTTTCTTCCTTCCTTCCTCCTTTCCTTCCTCCCTCTCTTCCTTCTTTCCTTTCTTTCTAGACAGTGTTTCACTATGTAGCCCAGGCTGGCCTGGAACTTGATA